ATAAGCTTGACTGAGTCAAACACGAACTGCCTTCTGGCCTTTGAATTGCCGATGTCGAAAATAGATGTAGAGACGGTGACATCCGGAAACTTCGCAAGTTTAGATCTAGTCAGGACGATAAGGGTGACGCAGAGGACAGTAAGGAACAAGAACATAAAGAGAGGCCTCATAGACAATGCCTCGAGACCGGATGCTTTGACAGTAGCATAGCTTGCAGCCATTGAGGCATCTGGGCTAGTCTCGACGTCCATGTTAATGGATGCTAGCGATTTGAAGAAGGGTGGCGAGTTGTTGGATGCGATTGTGTATGGTGTGTTCGTCCTATCAGTTCAGCTGTGGCATTCATCTTTAAATAAAGTCCTCCTAAAAGCGAACAAGACTCTTTCTCATCATTGACGGAGCAGTCCGATCATCTACCAACGCTTTTATCCGTCGAGATGGACTAGAACACCCTGCGGGCACCTTAGGAAGCCCGATACGAATACGGGTCGGATTGTGAATGCCGTCTGGAGCTCCGGTGCGGCACTTGCTTGTTGACCTATGCGATCGGCAAGGCCTAGATATTCACCACCGGCATTTCTAAGAGCCTCTGTTGATTGGCTATGCTAATAAACTTGAGTAGGAATGAATAAATAAGCTTTCTGAATACTCCCTCCGCGGCTCCACAAAGGTACAGAAGACGGATTCCGTAGAGGCCCGGTAGTAGTTGCGACAGCTTGGCAAGTGCGCGCGAGTCAATTAGGAGTTTTACCAGCAAGTGAGGTAATGGATGATTAGCCGTCTCGCTAAGGCTGCAAGCACGTCACTGTTGACAGCTCAAGTCCAAGCCACACTTGACTCCGGTTTAACGATTACAGTCGTCTGGATATACGAAGGAATAAGTGGCTCAGAAATGCTTAAGTATGAAGGCAGAAGTAGCGACCTGACACGACGAGACTGATATCAACACGCAGTGAGCCTCATAGTCGGGGACACACCAAGTGCATTAGTACTTAATTATACGGTGTCCATCTTGGCATCTAGTCGTGAATAATATCATCGATGAGACATTCAGGCGTAGATGGGGACGCGGCCACGGAGTTTTGGATTATCACGGAAGCCGTTGTTTCAAGTTAGACAGAAATCAGGGACCGATGGTGGGAACCTCGTCGGGAAGGGTTAGGCTTAACGAGCCAGCTATCAGGGCTGCAGCCCAAGGAATGTGCGGGGACGTATTTAACAGCCTTAGGAAACTCTTTAGGGAGGGTTTAGCACGGTTCAATTAGGGATATTACCATGCTACCAACGCCAATCAAAGTCTGACAAAGATTGCTAGATTCCAGGGTTCTGACCAATGACATACTTGGGCGCGGTTACTAAGACTCCTCTGCCAGACTGGTAATATGGTCCCTTGAGTATCGTGATCATTGTTTCTGTTCCTGAAGTTCCATGCAAACCGAACCGAAATTCCGCTCCCTTGAAAGCCGTAATACACATTTCTGCGAACAAGACAAGGTTTTTGTATGAGTGACCTTCAGAGCCGCCGGGTACCGTAATCCGACCTCCGGCTTCGTCACAATGACTCATAGCCCCTCGTATCATTTTCAAAGGCAACGATCCCGCATTGGCTGAATATTCCGTCGCACTGTCACGGCTTCACGTCTCCAGCCTATATTTGTGCGTCGCTGTGTTCAATCATACCTTGAAACAAACCGCCGAAGTGTCAAATTCATTGCTCCAGATATGGGCTTGTACATCCGTCCATTGACAATCGATGATCTTGATCGGTGCGTAACAGTGGAGGCCGCAGCCTTTCCCCCCGCCGAAGCAGCGACCCGCGAAAAGGCAAGTCGCATTCAAATCAGCCTTCCTTGATATTTTGAACCTTGTTTACTATCGAGTTTGTTTCGTGTCTTGGACTTGGGGGCTTATAATGCTCTACATCTCTATCGCTGCGTTTAAGCCACTAGTACATATAATGCCACAGTGTTTCATGGGCAGTGGTGCATTTGCGATGACGTTGCTGAGCCTTTCTAATCTCATCTTGCTTTCAGATCGAATATCGACTGACGGTATGCCCCGAACTCTGCTTAGGATTATTTGCTCGTGAGGGCAAAGGCAGCCAAGGCAGGGTTATTCGACAAGGGACCACGCTGGCCTACAATCCGTCCGACACCTCGAGCGGTGATGACCTCATCGCGCACACGATTTCCACCAAGTCGGTCTCTTGTGTTGTGACAGACGCGGACATGGCCGTCCCACATTCATGGAAGACAGACCCGACCGCCACATACGACGTTGGGCACCAACCAGAAGGCAAAACTATCACTTTGCATTCACTAGCTGTCTCTCCCAATTCGCAGAAATCAGGTTACGGCAAAACGCTTATGGCATACTACATCAAGCACATGATACAGGCGGCACAGACAGAGAGAATCTCTATTCTCACCTATGACAGGCTGGTTTTGTACTATGAGAAGCTGGGATTTACACACTATGGCAAGAGCCAATCCGAGTATGCTGGAGTGGCGTGGCACGATTTGGTAAGGTTTCAATCGTTGGCAACCACATAAGCTTCCCACTAACGTTCTCCCAATCAGGCGTACGAGTTCAATACTGCCTGAGCATGCGCTAAAAGAAATCCTAAGGGATTTGGCAAGCTTCAAAATCTGACGTACATCCAAATTCCTCCTTGGCAGCCGGGCTATACTTCGGGTTTTCTTTTTGAAACGTATGCTACATAGGAATAAGACGAGGAGTTTCATCAGATTCATCACGTTTCTCCCGCCTGCCCTTGGAAATCTACCTGATGTAGTTAATAAGATTACCGCAACACACTGGCATGTTCTCTTTGATGGAGCATCGAAATCATAACTTTCCACTGCCTCAAGATAAGGGATATCCATGTTCACGATATATGATCAAGTGAATAGAAGATGGCGACTGCAATTCGGAGTTAGGAATTGTAGACTTATTGACGTTTTTGATGTTCTTGATGTTGTTAAAGGCGCAGTTAGCGTACCGAAGTCGTCCTGCGTTGCTATGATAAACTCTTCGTGGTAGAGCGCAGATGCCGTCTCTATTATATTGCGCCCATCTGCTTCCTTCTACTTGATACCTTCGTACAGACTCATTCGCGCAACGTCTTAAGTCGTTTGTAGGAAAGGATAGACAAAGTCTTGCCTTGCGTACAGCCTCAAAATGCCAGTCAACTCGAGCCACCTCAGGCATCCTAGGTTACGGCGCGAATGATGTTCCCCGACTTGCCATAGCCTCGCTTTCGGCTGCCGCACATGTGCAAGGTGCCCAGACAAGGTCATCTTATATCCTTACGAATATGATACCTCTGCTTTCTGAAGTCCTGCTGGGGTTCGTCGTGTTTGGAAAGAATCAATGCCTTTATATTTTGCTTTGCTTGAGAACATCTCTTACGGGGAAGGAACGCGGACATCTACTATCTAAGGCTTGTTTGACTTTTTTTTCATGGGTATATATCGCTCAAAATAAATAGTGAGTTGGGCGGCAAAATGTGACAGTCCAAAAATATTTGTTGTCCCTGCTATCTCATAAAGGAAGTTTGAGTGATATTGAAGGTTCGTGAATATCGAAGTCTTCCCAATTAAATTTTTTTGTTCAGCGCATCCTCAGCTCATCTCGATACTTGAATCTGCTAAGGTAAACTCTATGCGATTTGTAAGTGTATGCCCTGACGCGTAAGGCTGTCTATCAGAATTCACCTTATAATCTTTCTTCTTGTTTCAGGCTATCGGATAGGCTTTTCGGTCACTCAGAATACATGTTGCCTTTACTCCTTAGGTAGTATGATTATGTCGTGAGTTGCATTGGCGTGTAGTTTAAGTACTACGACGGGCAATTCTGGCTAGACGACGCACTGCCATACACTATGGCAGCTGTTAATTGTGATCATAGCTTTTAAGTCCGAATCTGGCCAGTGTCACTTTCTTTTGTTATGACAATATGAATAACGGTACTGGGCTCTTCTCTGAAGCTTAACTTATCTTGTCGAAGGATTTCGCAACCTTGCCGCCGTGGGAAGGCCCTACCCGGCGGTCCCTCAGAGCTCCATGTTGTCACGCAAGCCACGACTCTACACTTGCCCAGAGGATTTGGCAACACTCATCATATCTGAGGCAATAGCATAGTCTCCTTCAACTGATTCATAGGTGGGCTAGAACTGACATTGTCTTTGCATGAGGATTGGTTGACTTTGTTATTTAAACCCCAGTATGTCCGTCGCCTCAGCCAGGTTTTCCGCCTCAGATGTCCCGTCCTTACACATGTGGCTGGGAGAAGATTCGGTAGCGTAGCTAGTCCTAACGTAAAGACAAACCTCGCGGCACGAAATTTGAAACCCCACACATGACAAGCCCAGCTCGATACATCATCGTGTTGGTACTTTTGGCCATGGAACTTGATATTGAGCGCACACTCAACTGGAACAGTCTCTTGTGCTTTACAAGACAGGCCTGAAGTAAATATTCTCTTCGAAAGTTATATTTTGACTGAAATTCAGTGTCACAACCGCTTAACGGGACTTGTGATTCCCTTACAGAACTTGCAGCGTCTACAACAAAGCAAGTAGGCTAGTAGACGAAGCCTTTTGCCCCCGCGCAATTCTGATCGGGATGCCTTGGCACCTTAGTAGCCTAGGTATTTCGGCCAATCGTGTCCACAAGAGAGGATAAAGGACCATAGCGAACGAGAGGGCATTTCACTAAACGACCTGGAAACCCGTCATACCCAGACGTTCAGGGTTTCGGGGTTTATCCTTGCCAGATGCCTGACTACCTACTTCCGTAACATGGCACGTGGATGGCTGGATGATCAGGTCAGTGCCTCATTTCAGCGCTGAGGCGTTATGGCCCAGACGCATCCGATGAGAAATTGCTCGGTGTTTCTATTCCGCACCGACGATCGCCAATAGACGAAAATGTGACTTGGCAGTCATGTGATGTTACTCTGGTCTTAATGCCCCTCGAATAATGTCAACAGTGAAGAAAAAAAGGTAGTCAGGTCAGATCAGAACCGCATGTACTACGTGGATGATTGACCGCCACTCTGACCCTAAGAGCCCATGGTGTTATTCTGGCAACGGTATCTTCCATCGGACATCGATGAGTTTCATGTGTACTGATAAGTTATGATCGTCCTGTTGTCTTATCCGTCCCCCCTCCCGATGTAACTCTTCCTTGACTCACCTGCTCTTTGCAGAAGACCCTGCCGCTGCTCCGTCCCTTTTAGGTAACTTCTGTTGGCTGGGTCGCAAATCCAACTCATTCAGGATCAGAACGCCAGAACGTTATGTGCCGCACCTTATAGCAAGTCTTGATAAATGCGCTATTAGAACACCAGCATTTACCGACGAGACGATCGCCCGGGGTACTGCCGCGGCAGTCGTGTATTGGCATGAAATGCCAGCTTCAATACCATAGTCCACCTCGCTTGTGCGCTAAGTTCAACTGTGTTTGTCAAGACTAACTGTGGTAGCGAGACCGAATTTGGGGAGCCATGTTACCAAAAGAGCGCCAGCGACACTTGAATACGACAAAGCGCATGGGTAACAAGAGGCTGGACTCCAGATTTGCGAGCTGATTCTCTGCTCGGAGGAGCTCGTTGGGCAGCGCCTTTGCCTTATGGGATATAAGGTCGCAATGATAGAAGCAGATCGTCTGCTTGATCAGGTCTTCGCGGCCCCCACCAGGAGAGCGTTCCTACGCGTCTGTGGTGGCCAAATATCTGTGCGCTGGGGCGGCGTGGATTTTAATTGGGACCAGCGGACATTCACCCGTGATACCCGGGCTCCTCTGTCAGAACAAGGATCAAAATCTGACGCAATTCATGGTCTTTTATCCGATCAAGAACTGCGGGTCCCTCATGAACTGTTAGTCCTTCGGGCACTTTGAGGCTGGTAAATGAAACCACCAGGTCGTTGGTAAATGGGGAATTGAAGACAATAGTGTGTATGGCACGGCTGGACATGCTTGTGGCTTTGAAGAGTAAGATGAAGAAATAAAGTTGCAATCTTGCCCAGATCGCAAAGTCATTCATCAAGCCACCTTGGGGACCCTGTATCACCTCTAGTGTATGTACCGAAAGACATCAAAGAGTCAGTAACGACCTGTCATGAATGTCTCAGAAACACGCCGATTGCAAGCCACGATCCCACACGGTAGGTGAAGAAGAAGCATCAGAAGAAGCGGCAGAAGCAACAGCCACCACAAGAACCGCCTTAGAGGAAGCCCGATCATATGGTTGACTACGCGCGTAAACAGCTGTTAGAAGAGGGGCGCAAATGGCCGGCCGGCTTGGTCCGGGTGGCCTCCCCTAAACGAAACGCCGATGACACGGCAATATGAGTGGGGATAGTCTGAGACAATCAGTTCCCTATTGGAGAATAGCATCGGCCTCAGTCCGCATCGTTGGGGGGTGACACTTTTCTTCCTGCTTCTAGTGTGACATCTCCCATAATTCCCGCCAGTTCAATTGTGGCCTTGTGCTCTTTCGTGTTCCCATGCCATCATGTTCGCACAGTCACCCAATGCTGTCTGTGCGAAGGTGCCAGTGAAATTCCACCTCCACAGTTTCTGGGTGGCGTAGCAGATGGCGACGACTCCTTATTACTTTCAAACCCAAAGGCTCAACGCCCGACTTGCATTATTCCGGCAATGTCCGCCTTCGGCCGCCAGCCGTTCTGCTTACTGCTTTTGTCGATAGTTAACACTTTTGGCGTGAGATGGGCGGAGCATCGCTGTCAGATAATTGAGGGGTGGTTCAAAGCAGGATCAAGTGAGAAAAAAGTGGTGCCATGTTGGTGAGATTCTGAATTGGGCTCGCTTCTGCATGGGCTGCAGAGCACCAGCACAACACAGTCGCAATTATGCAAGCGAAACACTCATACTAAATTTCCCGTTATCCTCCCCGGCACCATCAACCTTGAATCACCTACCTACTCCGGTTCGGAAGGACTGGGAACTGTAGTATTGTATGGTCAAGTCCCAACCCGGAAAGACATTTGCCGATGAGATGGATTTACGGTTAGAATCACAGGAAAGTTTCCTCTTGCCCGAATCCATCAATTCAGCCCTCTGGAAACAAATTGGCAGGTCAAGGTTCAGCATTGCGTCCATGCACGCGTGCCAGCGCCATCGTAACTTTTCCGAAAGCAGGCGATTATCATCGAGATGGCCCCCAACTCTTCCCAATCCTCCATTGTGGTGGATTTGGTTCCCTGCCACACCTCGTGGGAAGCTGGTCAGGGACAGCAAGGCATCGGAGTTGTGTTTGGGGAGCGGCCCATTGTCACCCTACCACGACAGGACCCCTGAATCTCTTTCACCATCTCGCGACTCTTGGCGAAGGAAACCCCCCGAGGTTCAAGAGTCTTCAATCTCTTCAGGACTAATGCGGGGGAAGGATTCCAGACACTGGACTCTTCGGCCGGTAGCTGGATACGGCCATTTCACCGGCCACTAACCTCCCAACTAACACCAACGTGGGCCATAGCGTGTGAGGCTGGATTACCCGAGATGTGGTTCGCCCCATCTGCCGACATTTGCTCACACCAGGGTTGACACCTCTTGCCCGCTTTCAACATAGCCCAACATGCGAAGATCTCACTCCAATACGGGATAGGTTCTCCAGGAGCTGCAATTGGAGTCTTCTGGGGTGGCCTGCTCATGTTGCATTCTGCAAGGTTCTGTGCAGGTGTAGGTGTGACGATCAGGGGTGCTGCTGTCTCTCTCCTCTCTTCTTCCATTCACGCCGCATGGCAGCAACAGGGCCAGGCCGCACTCACACACCCGCGGTAGCGCAATTCCATGTTTCTTTTCCCACATTGTCCAGGAACGCATATCTTCAACAAGGTCCCTCCCATCCCTCTTCGTTCCTGTCAGGATGGAGAAGCCGTAGAACGACGTCCC